GCCAACGTAACGGCAAAGACAACGTTAAAACGAAATATTGTCGAATGCTTGCAGGTAGAAGACTTACGACAGGATCAATCTTAAATAACCTTAAGCTATAGGAATAAATGTTCACATCAAAGACAAAGATCAGTCACAAAGTATAAAATATGCTCTGTAAACTTACCGCGAAGTGGAGAAATGTGTGCATGAGCTGTTTATTCGATGATTTCGACGAATATAGAAGCCCTCTTTCCAATAATACTCGCTTATCGCACAGTATAACACCAACTGATATAATAGTTCAAATGCAATGATAAGTTATCTCTTGAATTACGTCTTGAAAACCGTGTTGGAAATTTCCATGCTGATCCATTACATATAGATTCCCGTTTTATATCTTTGTATAAAACATTTTGATCCCATGTAAGGAATTATTTCTCAGCCCAGAGACATAGCCCAAAGACTTGACATTAACGTCCTTTTGATTTTACAGAGATAGTTCCAGAACTAAGAATATTATAAAGAATTATCTGTACCTTCTCAAAGTTGTAGACAAGATATGTTGTTTACGTCCAACACGCATAAGATTACATAACTCAAAATGATTCGAGCAAAACCGGTCTTTTGTTAAAGGAAGAATGGTTAATAAAATTGGTCCTTTTGAGTGACCTAATAGTGTATCGTCATCGATCCGTGACGTTGAACAATGAAAAAATTTGCTGTGAAATTAGTGAAGATAAAATAGCATTTTGTGAAAAAACTGCGGGTCTAGGGAGTGGGAACTTTTCGGATTTGAACTCAGCGTGTTCAAAAGTGTTAGTTCCCGTAAAAGTAACAACTTTTTTGATATTTTTTTAAGTCTGAAAATTGACTTCACTCGTTGGTTTGTTTTTGTGGAAACGCGAGAAATCCGTATGGTGTTATATAAAGCTCTCTCGGGCAATTAGAAGGCACCATCACGTCATGGAGCTGGCAAAAATACTACCACTTTTTTCCAATCAAAGTTGTTAATATCTTATTTTTTATCCCATTAAAGTGTATATGAAATGAAAGTTCTTATTTTCTTAAATGAAATAACTCTTTAAGCTGTAGTGTAACTTGTTTTTAGTTTCTTGTTTTTACGGTTTGTTCCGGAGATATTTCAATTTGTTTGATATGTAAATGAGTGTGAATATGTCCGCTAACTTATGACGTCATGTTGTTTGCAGGCTCTTCAAAATGGTTGAATATCGCTGCTACCACTCAAGATGATAATTTCAAACTTTCAGGGCCTATCAAAGAAATTCGTGGGCCCAGGGCAAATTTTTATTTCGGGTGCCCTATTTTTCCCAAAATTTTTCCGGACTAACATTTAAATTAAGCTTTAAAAAAAATGTTCAAACTGGGGGCCCGGGCCACATTGCCCCCTTTGCACCCCCCTCCCCCTGAAAGGCCCTGCGAACTTCACTCACTAGTAAATGTGATGAAACACAGGAGAAAAACGTGAACCGATATCAACAGTTTTTAGAGTTAATACATTTATAACCAGTGTAAGTTGAGCTTGCAACCAACATGACGTCATAATTTAGTGGACATATTCACATTCATTTACATATCAAACAAACTGAAATATCTTGGGAACAAACCATAATAACAAGAAACTGAAACATAACTTACACTACAACTTAAAGAGTTCCTTCATTCAAGAAAGCAAGAAATTTCATGTCATATACACTTTAACTTGCCAATAATGATAAAAAGTACTTATCCACCAAGATTTTTTAGCAAGTGCAGGAAAGTGCACTTTAGCTGTAAGCAACACAAAATCTTGAAGCAGTGCATTTGTGTGTGAGACAGCAAATGCATAGAAAACGTTATTTTAAAAGTTGTCTCTAAACGGCAAGTACTGATAAATTCATGGCACTCAACAAAAATAAATTAAATATTACATTAATGACATTACACTAATCAATTAGAGTGCGTGAGCATGTTTGGGCAAATGGGCAGCGTGCATGGCATATACCTTTATTACTATAAATCTGCCGTTCATTGGCATGATTTCCTACTATACACTCAGCGTGAGAATAATTTTTTTAAGAGAGAGAAGCTAGGTTTAATCAGATAAATTATAAAATTCGTGATTGGAAACACAAATAAAAGAACACATTTTCTATATTTGAGACAATATATTTCGATGTTATTTCTTTATGTTAAAGATATTTTTCAAACATTTTAGCTCCCAATATGTCAGATGTACCATGGGAAAGCGAAGAGAAACGAAACTACATTTGTATGCAGAATATTATCGTTGATGTTGTCAGTGAAGGATTGAGGAAATTTTTTAAAAACGAATGGAATACTCGTTATCAGGCAAGTTTCGGAGCATGGGATGACACCAACGTAAGTGGACTGCAGTTGTTTCACCTGGAAAAGGCACGATCAAGACCAAACAAGAACATGTACCAGGCAAAATTTCAACATGGAGATACAAATCAATGGGACTGCACTGTGCTTTTTGACGCAATTCTGTACTCAAACGCGATTGGTAAATCAAGCCTTAAACCAACAATTAAGACTGAAGTGGACAATATTCGAAATATGCGAAATAAAATTATGCATGCTGAAGAAACAACCCTATCTGATGCTGACTTGCAAACCATGATCAGTGATCTCGAAAAGGCATTTAAAGCCCTCAGTATTCCAATTAATGATATCACGCAAATGAAAATGAAGAGAAACCTTTACAAATCATTTAAAGTTTTACCTTCAAAGCCAACCCACGAAGTTGTTTACCGTTCTGAGAAGGTTAAGGAAATACAACAAGAACTGCAGACGTTACGCATTGATAGCGACAGCAAACTTACGTATTTCTATATTTCCGGAAATCCCGGAAGTGGAAAATCGCAGCTATCCCGGCAACTGGGAGAGGATTTGTTCAAAGACGTAAATTTTGAAACACAGACAACATTTGTAATGACTCTGCACGCAAAAGATTTAAACACTCTCCTTCATTCGTATGAAGATTTTTGCCGACGTCTAAATTGTTCTGAGAGTGTATTGAGAAATGTAATGAATTCGTCCAAAACAAACAAAGAAAAGATCGAAGATTTAAGATCACTGATTGAAAGCAGAATCAGAAACTGGAAAAGATGGTGGATTATAGTAGACAATGTGGACAATCTCGAGGATATTTCACCCTTACTACCTCAAATGGGCGACGAGGTTTGGAGTAATGGTCAAATTATATTAACAATTCAGAATACAAATGCAGTCCCTTCTGACAGTCTGTTAACTAGGCATATTTCACTCAGTCGTGGCATGAATTACCAAGAATGTCGTCAGTTACTTTCCATATTATCAGAAACTGATGTTAATGATCCATTGTTTGATGAAGTTGCTGACAAATTAGATCACCAACCTTTGGCTATGGCCGCAGCAGCTGTATACTTCAGGAAAGTCATTGAGACAAATTGTTGTCCAAAATTTTCGTGGCAAGATTATTTAGAGAAGTTAAAAAGTAAAAGAATATGCACAGAAGAACATCTTTACCAAACCAGTAAAGCTTATCCATCCACCATGACTGCGGCAGTGTCCCTAGCTGTTGAAAAATCAGTGGAAAACAATTTCATTTTAAATCACACGTTCAATCTTTTTTCCCTGATCTCTTTTGAACCGTTGCCTGTTGATATTATTGTCAAATACATTCAGCAACTTGATGAAAACTGTGATAAAGAGGTAATTTATTTGGCCTTGAAAGGTTGTTCGCTTTTTCTTCTTACTGAAACTGAAGATTGCGATGTCTGGCAGCATCGTGTTGTCCATGAAGCAACTAAATCGCTAAGTGATTGCAAAAGACCGCAAACTACAAACAATTCTCAGAGTAGCATTCCAAATAAAACAACGAAAGTCGACGCTTTAACTGAAGTTAAAAATGTTTTAAACGCACTTTATCTTTTCGAAGACAGGGATGATAAAATCAAAATGATTCCACATTTGAAGGCATTTAATACGGCAATTCAAAAACTATTTCCGGAAAAAGACTCGTTATATTTAATTAGCTCAAGCTTTACAAAACCTGAAATATTTAGGATATATCTTCTCTTTGGGAAAACTTTAGCCAACAACTGCGAATATAAACTCGCTGTCGAATTTCATGAAACAAATGTTGAGATCTCGCAAGATTCAAAAAGCGACAGGGCTTGTCTATTTAACGAACTTGGTAATTTATACGGACGACTGGCCGAATTCGATATGGCCCTGGTTTATCACCAGCAGGCACTGGAAATTCAAGAGGAACAACTTGGAACAAACCATGTTGATGTTGCACTTACTTATAACAACATTGCCCAAGTGTACAATAAAAAATGGGATCTGGACCAGGCTAATGATTATTACCAACGAGCACTGGAAATTCAAGAGAAACAACTTGGTCCAAACCATGTTGATATGGCACGCACTTATAGGAACATTGGTGTAGTGTACAGTAAAAAAGGGAACCAGGACCAGGCTAATGATTATTTCCAACGAGCACTGGAGATTCAAGAGAAACAACTTGGTCCAAGCCATGTTGATGTTGCACTTACTTATAACAATATTGGGCTAGTGTATTATCATAAAGGTGACCTGGACCAGGCTAAGGATTATTACCAACGAGTACTGGAAATTAAAGAGAAACAACTGGGTCCAAACCATGTTGATGTTGCAAATACGTATAACAACATTGGAGTAGTGTACAGGAAAAAAGGGGACCTGGACCAGGCTAATGATTATTTCCAACGAGCACTGGAAATTGAAGAGAAACAACTTGGTCCAAACCATGTTGATGTGGCACTTACGTATAGCAACATTGGCCTGGTGTATTGTGATAAAGGGAACCTGGACCAGGCTAATGATTATTACCAACGAGCACTGGAAATTCAAGAGAAACAACTTGGTCCAAACCATGTTGATATAGCACGCACTTATATGAACATTGGGGTAGTGTACAGTAAAAAAGGGGACCTGGACAAGGCTAAGGATTATTACCAACGAGCACTGGAAATTAAAGAGAAACAACTTGGTTCAAACCATGTTGATGTTGCAAGTACTTATGACAACATTGGGGTAGTGTATTTTAATAAAGGTGAGCTGGACCGGGCTAATGATTATTTCCAACGAGCACTGGAAATTAAAGAGAAACAACTTGGTCCAAACCATGTTGATGTTGCACTTACTTATAACAACATTGGGCTAGTGCACACTAAAAAAGGGGACCTGGACCAGGCTAAGGATTATTACCAACGAGCACTGGAAATTCAAGAGAAACAACTTGGTTCAAACCATGTTGATGTTGCAAGTACTTATGACAACATTGGGGTAGTGTACAGTGAAAAAGGGGACCTGGACAAGGCTAAGGATTGTTACCAACGAGCACTGGAAATTCAAGAGAAACAACTTGGTTCAAACCATGTTGATGTTGCACGTACTTATAACAACATTGGCGTAATGTACAGTAAAAAACGGGACCTGGACCAGGCTAAGGATTATTACCAACGAGCACTGGAAATTAGAGAGAAACAACTTGGTCCAAACCATGTTGATGTTGCACTTACTTATAACAACATTGGGCTAGTGCACACTAAAAAAGGGGACCTGGACCAGGCTAAGGATTATTACCAACGAGCACTGGAAATTCAAGTGAAACAACTTGGTTCAAACCATGTTGATGTTGCAAGTACTTATGACAACATTGGGGTAGTGTACAGTGAAAAAGGGGACCTGGACAAGGCTAAGGATTATTACCAACGAGCACTGGAAATTCAAGAGAAACAACTTGGTTCAAACCATGTTGATGTTGCACGCACTTATAACAACATTGGCGTAATGTACAGTAAAAAAACGGGACCTGGACCAGGCTAAGGATTATTACCAACGAGCACTGGAAATTAGAGAGAAACAACTTGGTCCAAACCATGTTGATGTTGCACTTACTTATAACAACATTGGAGTAGTGTACAGGAAAAAAGGGGACCTGGACCAGGCTAATGATTATTTCCAAACAGCACTGGAAATTGAAGAGAAACAACTTGGTCCAAACCATGTTGATGTGGCACTTACGTATAGCAACATTGGCCTGGTGTATTGTGATAAAGGGAACCTGGACCAGGCTAATGATTATTACCAACGAGCACTGGAAATTCAAGAGAAAGAACTTGGTCCAAACCATGTTGATATAGCACGCACTTATATGAACATTGGGGTAGTGCACAGTAAAAAAGGGGACCTGGACAAGGCTAAGGAGTATTACCAACGAGCACTGGAAATTAAAGAGAAACAACTTGGTTCAAACCATGTTGATGTTGCAAGTACTTATGACAACATTGGGGTAGTGTATTTTGATAAAGGTGAGCTGGACCGGGCTAATGATTATTTCCAACGAGCACTGGAAATTAAAGAGAAACAACTTGGTCCAAACCATGTTGATGTTGCACTTACTTATAACAACATTGGGCTAGTGCACACTAAAAAAGGGGCCCAGGCTAAGGATTATTACCAACGAGCACTGGAAATTCAAGAGAAACAACTTGGTTCAAACCATGTTGATGTTGCAAGTACTTATGACAACATTGGGGTAGTGTACAGTGAAAAAGGGGACCTGGACAAGGCTAAGGATTATTACCAACGAGCACTGGAAATTCAAGAGAAACAACTTGGTTCAAACCATGTTGATGTTGCACGTACTTATAACAACATTGGCGTAATGTACAGTAAAAAACGGGACCTGGACCAGGCTAAGGATTATTACCAACGAGCACTGGAAATTAGAGAGAAACAACTTGGTTCAAACCATGTTGATGTTGCAAGTACTTATAACAACATTGGGCTAGTGTATTTTGATAAAGGTGACCTGGATCAGGCTAAGGAGTATTACCAACGAGCACTGGAAATTCAAGTGAAACAACTTGGTTCAAACCATGTTGATGTTGCAAGTACTTTTGACAACATTGGGGTAGTGTACAGTGAAAAAGGGGACTTGGACAAGGCTAAGAATTATTACCAACGAGCACTGGAAATTCAAGAGAAACAACTTGGTTCAAACCATGTTGATGTTGCACGTACTTATAACAACATTGGCGTAATGTACTGTAAAAAACGGGACCTGGACCAGGCTAAGGATAATATATTACCAACGAGCACTGGAAATTAGAGAGAAACAACTTGGTTCAAACCATGTTGATGTTGCAAGTACTTATAACGACATTGGGCTAGTGTATTTTGATAAAGGTGACCTGGATCAGGCTAAGGATTATTACCAACGAGCACTGGAAATTGAAGAGAAACAACTTGGTCCAAACCATGTTGATGTTGTACTTACTTATAACAACATTGGGCAAGTGTACAGTAAAAAAGGGGACCTGGACCAGGCTAAGGATTATAACCAATGAGCACTGGAAATTCAAGAGAAACAACTTGGTCCAAACCATGTTGATGTTGCACTTACTTATAACAACATTGGCCTTGTGTATTATCATGAAGGTGACCTGGACCAAGCTAAGGATTATTACCAACGAACACTGGAAATTCAAGAGAAACCACTTGGTCCAAACCATGTTGATGTTGCATTTACTTATAACGGCATTGGCCTTGTGTATTATCATAAAGGTGACCTGGACCAGGCTAAGGATTATTACCAACGAGCACACGAAATTAAAGAGAAACAACTGCAATTGTGGACATAACTTGCTAAGAATGTTTTAATTTTCCTCCGTGATCGGTTTAAACTCCAGTTTGATTCCTGTATTTTGCCTAGAACATCCCCTCCCCCATCCTCCGACACAATGTTGTTGAATTATGTTTAAAATGAGACGAAAATTATGGCAATATTGGGTGGGGGCGAGGAGGGGGGGGGATTTAATGAACTTATTTGATTATATTTTCCTAAAATATCGATCGATTTTATTAACACTTTTGTCCATGTTCTTGCTCAGACTGTCTCCAATAAATAGGAGTTTTCCTGGTTAAAATGTAATCAGCTGCCGAGTGCTTTACGGTTCACAATGTATATTCATTTCGGCCGAGATTTTTAAGCTTCTAAAGACACTAAAAACTTTGTTTTTTGGACTATGTTTGGTTTTTAAAACAAATAAACACTGATCATCACTATATGTTAATTTAACTAGAAAATATACATGCATGCAGAAACCCTTGCCTTGCTGACAAAACTATTATGTTTTCCAAACATGAAGTATTGTCATGGCAGCACGATAATTTTAAGAATAGTTTTAAAATTGAAAAATCCCCCAAAATATCAGTTTTAATTACAAAATGATCAATTACTATCTTCCTTCAATATATATATGTATATATATATATATATATATATATATATATATATATATATATATATATATATATATATATATATATATATATATATATATATATATTTGTATATATATATATATTTGTATATATATATATTTGTATATATATATATATATATACCGGGTGGCCCAAAAAAAAGTACTCCTGTTTGATTCGTAATAACTTCTAAACAAGTAAAGTTTTTAAAGAGAAATAACTTGCATTAAATGGAGGAAGGACTAACTTAGATTTTGATATATTACAGTTGTATTTAACTTAAAAATTCACGGAGATATTAATGTTAAAAATGGGGAGCATATTTTGGAATGTGTCTAAAATTAGCGAAAATCGGCATATCAAATATTAACTCCAGCGTTTGTTTGCTTAATGACATATTAGGCTAACTTGTATTTCAGCGAATTATCGTTAAGGTTTGTGAGGGATATGGCGTAGATTTAGACATCTTACATGTAAGTCTTAGCTCATTGTTTCCTGAAATATGAACGTTCGAAATTATGCAAGTATTTAATATTAGGTCTTTGCAAACTTAAATGTACATGAAAGACTGACCATGGAAGGCAGGCGCTTAAATTTTTCGTATTCTTAAACGTGCTAGGAACACACGCGAATTTCGGACGAATGAATCTTGCTTGTATTTTGTAGATATAATAATACTTTGTTTCATGATAAACAATTTGTCAAGTGTCATTTATTTACTGGTAATAGTGCATGTTTCAGTCGGGCAAATCTTGATTAATATTTGATACGCTGATTTTTGCATATTTCAGACACATCCAGAAATATCCTCCCGAATTTAAAGATTAATATCTCCGTGAATTTTTAAGTGAAATAAAACTGTAATATATCAAAGTCTAAGTTAGTCCTTCCTCTATTTGATGCAAGTTATTTCTCTTTAAAAGCTATACTTGTTTAGATGTTATTACGAATCAAACAGGAGTACTTTTTTGGGCCACCCGGTATATATATATATATATATATATATATATATATATATATATATATATATATATATATATATATATATATATATATATATATATATATATAAG